GATCCTCCCTAAGTACTACAGTGAAAGGCTAGCTGAGGAAATAAGGAAGAAGGCTCCAACCTAAGCACAGTGAACTAAGAGGAAATGGTCGTGTAACAACAGTCTCACTACAAAATTATATGTACTCTAAAAGAAAGTGGCACCTACCATGGCTAATGAGCGGGGAGTAAAAACCAACAGTAATATTCAAGACCATATGAGTTGCACAAAAATTTCGGCATGCGTGAGAACTCAGATAAGCTAAGTATGCACGCAACAAGGGGGCAAAAAGACCAGTAAAAGCAATTGCTCACTTTTGAAGAAATCTGAGATGGAACAAAAGGAATTATCCGATTAATGATCAGCCGTAGAAGATTCCGGTATAAGTTAAAAAAAGGAATTGGGTCCAGGTCATAGACAAAGGATTGAATCATTAGAAGATTGTATCATGGTTTTCCATAGTGTCAATGAAAGTCTAAGGTAATGACTAAATTCCATGAGCCGCAGATCGGAAGATAGCTTAAGCCTACATAAAGGCTGATCAGAACAAAGAGGAAACTAAAGAGTTACATCAACTAAGTAAATCAGGAGTCTGATTATTGGCCCCAGACAATTATAAAAATCATGATTGAGAACATTGCAGGATCATCCTTAATATCATAGGCACAAGAGAGATAGTACAACAAAACCACCATATTCCATAACGACCCTATGATAGAGCCAGTTAGAATAGTACCAGCGCTACCACCAGATTGTGTATGCACCAGAGGTGCAAGTATTATAAGAGAGCTTCAAGTTATGTTGCAAGGGAGGTCATGAAAGAGATAGAAGATATGATGTGTGATTGAAAAGTAAGTAAGATAAAGGCGAAGAAGATACGAGCTACTCAAGTATAAAAGGTTGTGAATAGTCAAGACTTTAGATATAGTTTGGGTTTTAGTTTAATTTACAAAAGAGACCCTAGTGAAAATTTTGTAAATCTCTAAGAGTCAACATTCGAGGACGAATGTTCTAAAGAGGGGAAGGATGTTACACCACGTAAGTTTAACAACCTTGATATCGTTATATATATTTGATATGGTATTTTGAGTGGAACATTTTTGTAAAAAATAAAATAAAACATGATTTTATATAGTTATTAATATTATGTCTAATCATTTTGCTATCATCTCCTTGTCCAACATCAATTGACCAAAGCGAGAATGTTCGGTCCAAACTTATATTAGTTTGGAAAAGTTTGAAGGCCTTTGGCAGAGTGTTGATATATAATGTGTCTGTGTCAACACGATCTTCTATTTTCCCTCGGACCCCCATGTCACTATGATGTTTGAATTCAATCTTAACGGAGTACGACGTAATCTTTCTCAAGAATATCATACGAATTTTTCCCTACTTCAGGTATGTTAAGGCTATCCCTTCTTTCCTTTTGACATGATCTATACGATACAAACAAAACGAGCAAATGCACAACTTCCATAAATGACTCTATTCATAGAAGTATTAGAGGTGCCTATGTTCTTGAATTCCCATGAGTCTTATTATTACATCTTCTGTTCATGGGTCCCAAAAATTACGTAAGTTGATAAAGTTTATTTCATGATATTAATCAGAGGCGTAATGCTCTTATGACGTACCGAGAGATTTTATTAACGTATTTCATATGCATTTCATGCATTTATACATGCACATTGACCCATGACCAGATGTCGTTATATACGCGTATATATATGTATATATATGTATATGAGATATGGGAAAGGTTATGGCGTTATATACGCACCACCACCTGATCAGCTGGTATACGTTGATGATTTGCCCACAGTGGCCGAGATGATATGATGGTATGCCCTCAGAGGCTTGATGATGTTATGAACACATGAACCTATGCACGACGTGACATTCATACGCATATGCATGACACTATAATTATTTCACGATATACAAAGTTATCTAGACTTACAGGTTGAGTCATTTACTCTATGTTTCTTCCATGTCTTTTATATACTTATTTATGTGCCTTACATACTCGGTACATTATTCGTACTGACGTCCTTTTGTTGGGGACGCTGCATTCATGCTTGCAGGTATTGACGATCAGTTTGACGAGCCATCATAGTAGATGATGTTAGCATTCAGCGAAGGATCGGTAAGACTCCACCTCATTTGGAGTGCAGCCGAGTCTATGAGTCATCGTGTCAGAACTTCGCTACAGACTTATGGGTAGGCCGGTACCCTGTCCCATTTGATGTCAAATACTCTTAGAGGCTTTGTAGACAGAGATTTATTTTGTACAGTATGTCAGAGGCCTTGATGGCCCATATGTATTCATGTTTAAGAAAGATGGTTCATTGATACAGTGCTTCCCCACTTATAGTTATACATTACGAGTTGTGGCCATGTTGTCCCAGTTACCAATGACGGTGCAATATGAAAGATACGTTATGTTGGCACTCGGTCGAGTAAGGCACCGCGTGCTCGTCGCGGCCCATCGGTTTGGGTCGTGACAAAATTACACAATAAGCATCGTCTCATATAGTAGAAGGGGAGGCGATTTGCGCAGGATGTAGGAGGCGTTAGGTACTAACCTGGAAATGGGATTACGGACGCGTTTGGTACGCGTAGTTGCAGCCTATTTATGATGGCTCATGTTCACAAAGCTTCAGGGTTGCTGTTGTGGTGCAGTGCAGTTTTCGTGTGTAAATCCCTAGGTTGGTTTGACGGTTTGGGGGGTTTACCGACCGGTCCGACAAGTCGGCATTCGTAATGAACGGGTGAAACTTCACCGAATGGGAGATAGAGCTAACACCATGTTTGGATCTAGAGGGACCTAAGGCTTTGGCTAGAAAATCCCCACAGACGACGCCAAATGTTCGACCGAAAAAACTTATACTTTTTATTGAACTAATTAAATAAGAAGGTTTGAGGTAAATCCTAGCCAAAGATAATTTATCCTAGATCTAAGATAGAAGGTAAGAATAAGCAAACACAAGATTTAACTATAACATTGATTGAATCCCATTATGTAAGAAGAGGATGGTGATTTTCATAATATTGAATAATAGTGATAAATACATAGATAAAATGGGTCACCGATCTTTAACAAGGTTGAACTTTACATATTTAATGATATGATGAGACTAACGACGTGTATCGAGGATCTGAACTTCCTTGCTTCTTTCTCCATCATGCGGAGAGAGAGAGATGAGGATCCCTCTTCTTCTCAGAAAATATCTCTGCGTGTGAATTTGTTTCACCCCCCTTTCTCCTTCTTCTCACTTAGTTTATATACTAGGTATTCTCCTTTATCCAACGGTCATTAACCATAGTACCTAAGTCATTTGACTGTGTTACTGGTCGACCCTACGAAATGTCGTGACATCCAATTCACCATTCAAGCATTCTGAATACACGACCTCAGCCGTGGCCGATGTGCGTGCCGTTATAGCGTTGTATGGTGATAATAGGTGAATTGAACTATGATTAAGCCCCAAAAGAACCACTTTCTTGTAGAGTTTTTATTGTAAGTGATAGCAAAATGCTCTTATTAGTGCTTTTCATATTTTTCAGGTTACATACATTAAAAGAAGGCTATGGAGTGATTTTGTATCATTTATGGAAGAAAAAAAAGTTAATCGCATCAAAGTCGCCGAGTGAACCATTTGAAAATACACAAACGAGGCCTGGAGGTGAACTGCCGCGGTCCCAGCGTGGGCGCGGTAGCACCGCGGTGAGCTGTCAGAGGAGATTCAGAGAGGCTATTTGGCTGCGGTCCCAGCGTGGGCGCGGTAGGACCGCGGCAGGCGACGAGAAATTGAAGGACTAAAGTGCGAATTCTGGAATTCTTAGCCCAAAACCTATTTAAACACTAGAACTCGCCCAAAGGAGGCATGTAACATTATTAGAGAGTATTTTGGCAAGATAAACAAGTGTGAGAGATAACCCAAAACATCATTATTTCTATTCTTCTTTATTTTCTTGCAATTTATGATTATGAATTTTTTAGTATTTAATTTACCCATTGTCATGAGTAGCTAAAAACCTTAATCTAAGGTTTTGGTGGAACCCGTTGGGAATAACTTGGTTGTTTTATCAATATAATTAGATTTGATTGTTAATCTCTAATTGTTCATCTATGTTTTGATTGTGGAATAGTTGAAAGGGCCCTCAATTATCCGTTCCTATTTATTATGTAACTTCTTGAGAGAGAGTGCATATTTAGGTGATTGTATGAACAACATCACTCCCGGAGTGTAGACGAGAGTCATAGCCGAGGGTTTAGAGGTTGGATTAGAGATAACGAAACCCCAGGTGCAATCTAAGTGAACTGTATTGTGCAAGTAGCTAGCGTAGCTTGAGAAAGTGCGTCTAGTAGATTATTATAATTACTTGAGAAAGAATTATGATATATGGAGAGTTCATGATTGTTAGAGATAGCTAAATCACAGTTATAGCACATATACAACCAAGGAAAGTACCAACAAGGGAAAGCATTGCCTTAGACTTTATTTCTACTGTTTACACATCAAGTTTAGTTAATTTTCAGCTGTTAAATACTTTCAATCTTAGTTGTTAGAAAATCAACCATTGTGAATCGAAAAGTTTGGGAAAACAGATTGTGTGAATTTAATAAATCTGACAGTAGTGATTGATAGGTTAGTTCCCTGTGGTTCGACTCTGGGCAATAATACTCGGATTATATTTGCAACGCCCGCATAGTCTTTTGTGAGACTTAGTTGAGCGTGATCAAATTTTGGCGCCGTTGCCGGGGAACTAACGGTGTTATCAATTACAATTGAAAGAAATACAAAGATTCCAAGAGTAATCCGTTTTCTCTTTACCAATCATTACATTGAAATTCTATCGGTTGAAATCTTGTGGGAAGCAGGTGTATGCCTAGAAATTCTTCGACGACTGGAGAACTAATAGAAGGACTCTCAGACCCCGAGAAAATATTCAAGGCATTGAACCGTGCCAACAAAGGACTTCAACAAACTCAACCAACGAACCAACCCGAATTTGATATGGGTGACGTGAACAACGCCAACGGAAACAACAGGAATGAGCAAGTTGACCTGGAAGTCAGGGGAGTGGCACCTCTTGTGCCAGAGGCTGCACTTTATGACTGGGCACAACCTACAGCTAAAAATCTGGCCACTGCTATAGCTGTGCCTGCAATTCAAGCGGAGACATTCCAAATCACCAACAACATGCTGCATCTGCTGCAAAATAAGGGATTGTTCTCCGGGTCAAGCATTGAAGACCCACAACAACACTTGAAAAATTTCCTGTCAATTTGCATGACCCAAAGGCAGCCGAATGTGACTCCTGAAGCTATCAAGTTGCTCCTATTCCTATTCTCAGTAACCGGGGCAGCTCAGACTTGGTTAAATTCGCTCCCGATCAACTCTATCACCACTTGGGAGGAATTAGTCAAGCAGTTCTTGAACAAGTTCTATCCGCCTAACAAGACTGCACATCAAATTGATGCCATATTACAGTTTAGGCAGCAATCCACGGAGTCTTTGCAAGAAACTTGGGAGATATTTAAAGGGATGCTTGTGAAGTGTCCTCATCATGGCATTCCAGACCAGATGCTTGGCCAGAGATTCTACATGGGTCTAACTGACAACTTGAAGGCTAATGTGGATGCTTCAGCTGGAGGTGCCTTCTTAAGCAAAACATTCACCGAGTGCAAAATTCTCTTAGACAAGATGTCATAAAATGCGGGGTGGATGACTAGAGGTGCAACACTAGCACCCATAATACATTCTGTTCCATTGGATCCCAATAATTCACAGGAAGAAAACATGGCCACACTCCTAACCCAGATGAGCTTATTGACAAAGAAGATTGATGAGATGGGTACAAAACAGGTGCACATTGTTGATACAACGAATGGAGGATTATGTACACCATGCATTAATCAGTCATATGTTTGTTCATGGAGCGGAGAAGGCGAAAACCAAGGGGTCCGGGAAGATATGAACTATGTCAACAATTATGGGGGCCAGAGACAAGGAGCACAACAGTGGAGACCGCCACATAATCAGCAGTACAGGCCTAATATGCAACAGCCTGGGGGTATGCACCCTCAAAATCAATTAGTGCCCGTACCTTATCAGAAACCACAGGGTTATCCACAGCAGAATCAGCAACAATTGGCTTATCAACCACCCCCTCAGCAGTAAGACAACACCATGGTGGAAATTAGAGGTATGCATTAACAACTTATTGGGACAAATAACAAAGTGCAGGAAAAATTGGCAGTCCATGATTCAGCCATCAAGAATATTGAAACACAGCTGGGTCAGCTGTCCATGGCATTGAACAACCGCACTCCAGGAACTTTACCTGCAGACACAAACGTTAATCCCAAGGAGCAAAACCCGAATCAGCTGATGGCAGTCAGTCTAAGGAATGGTAGAGATTTAGATCGAGAGCAGGAAATTGCACAGGCCAGCAAGAACACTACACCAGCTACTCCAGTGCCATTAGAGGAAGAACAGCCAGCGGAACTCACTGAAGTAGTGGTTGAGCAGAGTAAGGAGGGTAAAGGCAAAGAAAAGGAGACCGAGCAAGTTGCAGAACAGGTGGCACCTCTTGTGCCAGACACTCCTAACAAAGAAAAACCAACAAGTACGTGCCCAAAGGGTGATCCCTGCACCTTCCCTCGGAGACTGGTCAAGCAAAAGAAGGCAGACCAATACAAAAAGTTTATGGAGATGCTGCGTCAAATCCAGTTGAATATTCCATTGATGGATGCCTTGAGGGAGATGCCCGGTTATGCCAAGATGATGAAAGATTTAATGTCAAAGAAGTTTGATTTTCAAGATCTATCCACCGTAACTCTAACACAAACCTGCAGCGCAGTGGTGGCAAAACCGATAGCCCAAAAGATGTCCGATCCAGGTAGCTTCACTATTCCGTGCACCATTGGGAGTTATGCCTTTGCAAAGGCATTATGTGATTTGGGAGCCAGGATAAATTTGATGCCGCTGGCTATATACACCAAATTGGGCATCGGCAGGGCCAGGCCGACTTTGATGTTACTCCAGCTAGCTGATCGCACAGTGAAAAGACCTACAGGTATTCTTGACGATGTGCTGGTGCAAGTGGGAAGTTCGTGTTCCCTGCAGACTTTGTGATTCTGGACTGTCAGGTGGATGAGGAGATACCCCTTATTTTGGGGAGACCATTTTTAGCCACCGGGAGAGCACTGATAGATTGTGAAACTGGGGAGCTTAAAATGAGATTGAATGATGAAGAAGTCATATTCAACGTTCAACAATCAGTGAGGAGACCCAGCGAATATGCAAATTGCTCTCTAGTGGAAGAAGTTGATGTAATTCTGCAAGAGGATGATAGGGCCCTGACTGTGGGGGACCCATTGGAGGCATGCTTGACAAACTTAGACGAAATGGATGGCGAGGGGTTAGCTGATTGGGTAATGGCATTGGAAGGCCGAGGATTTTGGTCAAGGGAACCTCAGTTCGAGTCCCTGGAGCTGGAGAAAAGGGTCACTCCTCCAACCAAGCCATCAATAGAGGAACCACCCAAGTTGGAGCTGAAACCACTCCCATATCATCTCAGGCATGCATTTCTAGGCACTGATTCGACTTTACCTGTTATTATATCATCCTGTCTGCTAGATGTGTAGGTAGAGCAGCTTTTGCAGGTACTAAAGGATAACAAGACGGCCATTGGTTGGACCATGGCAGATATAACGGGTATCAGCCCAGCTTTCTGCATGCATAAGATTTTCCTGGAAGAAGGGCACAGACCTTCCAGGGAACACCAGCGAAGGCTGAACCCTAACATGAAAGAAGTTGTAAAGAAAGAGGTGATCAAATGGTTAGATGCGGGAATTATTTTCCCCATCTCTGATAGTAATTGGGTCAGCCCTGTCCAGTGTGTCCCGAAAAAGGGGGGTATGACTGTTGTGAAAAAACGAAAACAATGAGTTGATCTCAACTCGTACAGTCACAGGGTGGCGAATCTACATGGATTACCGGAAATTAAACACCGCCACCCGCAAGGACCACTTTCCCTTACCCTTCATTGATCAAATGTTGAACAGGCTGGCTGGTAGATCACACTTTTGTTTCCCAGATGGATATTCGGGGTACAATCAGATTTCAATAGCCCTCGAAGATAGAGAGAAAACATCCTTCACCTGTCCGTATGGCATCTTTTCCTTTCGGAGAATGCCCTTTGGGCTTTGTAATGCACCTGCGACTTTTCAATGGTGCATGTTAGCCATCTTTACAGATATGATGGAGGACATTATGGAGGTCTTTATGGATGATTTCTCCGTGGTGGGAGATTCATTCGAAGACTGTCTTCACAACTTAAGCAGAGTGCTCAAAAGATGTGTGGAGACAAACCTGGTACTAAACTGGGAGAAGTGCCATTTCATGGTACGAGAGGGGATAGTCTTGGGACATCGAGTGTCCAGAAAAGGTATTGAGGTCGACCATGCTAAGGTTGACGTGATTGAGAAGTTACCACCGCCCACTTCAGTAAAGGCGGTGAGAAGTTTCCTTGGTCACGCCGGGTTCTACCGGCGTTTCATAAAAGACTTTTCCAAAATTGCTAACCCATTATGCAAACTCCTTGAAAAGGATCACCCTTTTGTGTTTTCTAATGATTGCAGGTTGGCATTTGAGGAACTGAAGAAGAAGTTGACCACTGCACCCATCATTGTCGCGCCCGACTGGGAGCAACCATTTGAGCTGATGTGTGATGCCAGTGACTATGCTATAGGAGCAGTCTTGGGGCAGAGAAAAGACAAGCTGATGCACCCGATTTACTATGCAAGTAGAATGCTAAGCGGTGCACAACTCAATTACACAGTGACGGAGAAGGAGATGTTGGCAGTCGTGTTTGCTTTTGACAAGTTCCGATTATATCTGATTGGTTCCAAGGTGATTGTATATACTGACCATGCAGCTCTCAGGTACCTCATTGAGAAAAAGGAGTCTAAGCCGCGCCTGATTCGTTGGGTGTTGTTGTTGCAAGAATTCGACCTCGAAATCCGTGACCGTACGGGTGCAGAAAATCAAGTCGCTGATCATCTTTCATGACTTGAAGGAGCTGAAAAATCAGTCGAGGTCGAAGAAATTCTGGAAACCTTTCCAGACGAGCAACTGCTCGCAGCCAGTCTTGAGGATGCGCCATGGTATGCAGATTTTGCAAACTACCTGGCTTGTGGTATTGTTCCTGATGACCTTTCTTCTGTCCAAAAGAAAAAGTTTTTCCGTGATAGTCGCATGTATTATTGGGATGAACCTCATCTGCTTAGAATTTGCGTTGATAACATTATCCGGAGGTGTGTCCTCGAGATAGAACAATCTTCAATTTTGCAGGCTTGTCACGCTTCAGCATATGGAGGACATTTTGGAGGCGTCAGAACAGCTGCGAAGGTGCTGGAGGCCGGATTCTTCTGGCCAACTGTATTTAGAGATGCACACCTCTGGGTAAAGGGCTGCAATGAATGCCAAAGGACGGGAAACATTTCCCGTCGCCATGAGATGCCAATGAAACCAATTCAAGAAGTAGAGGTGTTTGACGTGTGGGGGATAGACTTCATGGGTCCCTTTGTCAGCTCATTCGGTAATAAGTACATACTTGTGGCGGTAGATTATGTGTCTAAATGGGTGGAAGCTGCAGCCTTTCCCACCAATGATGCACGAGTGGTGGTCGGATTCCCGAAGAAGCACATATTCACCCGGTTTGGGATACCAAGGGCAATCATCAGTGATGGAGGCACTCACTTCTGCAATAGAGCCTTCGAGAAATTGCTGGCTAAATATGATGTGCACCACAAAGTGGCTACGCCCTACCATCCGCAGACTAGTGGACAAGTTGAAGTGTCCAATAGGGAGATTAAGAGTGTATTAACGAAAACTGTGAACGCAACCCGAACGGATTGGGCAAAGAAGCTGGACGACGCACTCTGGGCCTACAGAACTGCATTCAAAACGCCAATAGGTATGTCACCATACAAGTTGGTGTTTGGAAAGGCCTGTCATCTACCTGTGGAGTTAGAACATCGTGCTTGGTGGGCATTAAAACAATTAAACATGGATCTCGAAGCAGCCGGACAAAATCGACTAACGGAGCTGTACGAGCTAGAGGAATTTCGTATCAAGCCTTTGAGAGCACGAGGCTTTACAAGGAACGGATGAAGACAATGCATGATAAGCACATCGTAAACAGAGACTTCAAACCCGGTGATATAGTGTTATTGTACAACTCAAGTTTAAGATTGTTTCCGGGTAAGTTGAAATCCCGATGGTCAGGGCCATTCCGACTGGTGCAAACGTTTGCTAGTGGAGCTGTGGAGATTGAATCAAAAGACGGAACGAACAAATTCTCTGTCAATGGACAAAGGTTGAAACACTACCTTGGATCAGGTGACGAAAAAGGGGATACAATGGTGTCACATTTCAAAGAACCCCAATACAAAAACGAGGAGTAGGAACTCCACTATTTGCGTCGTGCCGTGACTTTAAATCAGGCGCTGCGTGGGAGGCAACCCACGAATTGTTGTAAGTTTAATGTATAACTGTATATATATAAATAAAATAAAAAAAAAGTACCAGAAAAATGCCTCCACCGCGGTCCAAGCATGACCGCGGTGAGACTGCGGTGGAAGGGGCTCTCTGAAGTTTTCCCACCGCGGTCCAAGCGTCGCCGCGGTGAGACCGCGGTGAAAGAGGCTCTCTGATGTTTTCCCACCGCGGTGGAAGAGGCTCTTTGAAGTTTTCCCACCGCGGTCCAAGCGTGGTCGCGGTGAGACCGCGGTGAAAGAGGCTCTCTAAAGTTTTCCCACCGCGGTCCAAGTGTGACCGCGGTAGCCCAGCGACGGGCCCAGTCAGGTAAGTAACTGAATTTTTTTTAATTTTAATTTCTTCTAGTTTCTTCCCTCCCCCTTTAATTACCCTTATCCATACACCCAACCCCTTATTCCCCACTCCAACCACACGACCCTCACCCCCTTTCTCTCTATTCTCTCATCTTTTTCCCTCTCTTCTTCTTCCTCCCCAAGCCCTAACCCCCATTCTTCCCAAATTTCTTCTTCTTCAACTCTCTCATCTCATCTACAAGGTATGCTTTCTTCTTTCCTCTTTTCTTTTCTTCAACTAGTTAGTGTAAATTAGTTTCTTAACCCTAGATTTTGTTGTAATATATAACTTGTATCTTTTTCTTTGTTTTCTCTTTTTAATTGATTATTTTAGCCATGGTGGATGCTTAGATGTTGGGTTTCATGATGATTAACTTGTGGGGAGGGATTTGTAGTATTTTTTGAGACTTAACTATCATTTTTAGGGCAAAGTGTGGTGGTTGGGCCTATATGGCCGAAAATTTGGGATTTGTTGTAATTTTTGGAGCACTTTGTGCTCATTGTAATTGGTTGTGGTGGTGGTGGTTGCAATATTTCACTGATGAAAGGTTGGGTGTGGTGTAGTAGGAGAGGTTGCCATGTTGATGGGGGTGTGAAGTAATCGTAGTATGGGTTGGCTAATTGGGGCCATTTAGCAATATGGTGTTTTGGCATTGTTGGCCAATGATAACTGTTTAGTGCCAGCGGGTGGCGAAGTCTGAGTAACCATTCGCATGGCCCAGTTTAGGATGTATTTGATAGTTGCCCTATCTTGTTGCAGGTATTATGGCACGAAAGAGGCACAAAGGTTCGGCTAGTACTTCCCAGGGGCCCACATATGATGAAACTAGGTTCCAGTCTCCGGGGGCTGAGGATGCATTCCATGCGAAAGCCACAAAAACCTTCGTCCCGGAGATTGCTGTGGATAGGGCTGCCCTCCGCATGGAAAGCCCAGCCATGTATGAAGAGATACGGCGGAGGGAGATGGAATTTTTTGTTTGAGGAGCCCGAAACAGTGAATCCAATGCTCGTTAGGGAATTCTATGCAAATTGCACGGAGCATTTTAGCCGGGAGGTATTTGTGCATGGCAAGGTGGTGGATGCTTCCATTCTTAAGATTCGGCAGGTTTTGCAGTTGCCCCAATTCAGAGGTGATGTTGATCATTACCACGACGCTCATGGGGTTAATTAGGATACCTTGATTGAAGCAATCTGCCAGAATGGCCAACCAACTTGGATACATGAAAACATCACCCTCCACTCCAAGTCCTTCACTCACGAGGCCAAGTGCTGGTTCAATGTCATTTGCAGCCGCTTCCTGCCCACAAGTAACTCTACCGATGTCAACCACCTAAGGGCTCTACTGGTATGGTGCTTTGTCACAAAGCGTGACTTTGATGCGGCGCGGCTCATTGGTGATGAAATGATCCTCCGATCCTCGCTGCAGTCTAAGGGGTTTTATTTTCCCTCATTGGTGACTAGATTGTGTCTGCTCAAGGGCGTTCCCACTCTGCCTACTGATGGCACATTGCCCTCAAGGATACCCTTCAGAACTTCTAGGATCAACGTGGGCAGAGATGCGCCCGCGACCATAGATATTGATGATGAGGAAGAATCCCAGCACCAATGGCACCCTCCAGGAGGTCATATGACGGAGCTGGATCTTCCCGGCGTCCCCACACTGGAGGCGGACTCTCTAGATCACAATCCACCCGGCCTATGCTACGTTCAGTGGAGGAGGAGCTCGTGGACCTTCGTACCTCGGTGGATGGCCTGCATGTGAGGATGGATGCTATGTCTCAGCGCCATGCCAGGTCTGAGAACCGCATAATGGCGTGGTTCCGTGCATTGGGACGAGCTTGTCATGTGGACCCCAGCACGGTCTCCGACTCCGAGTGATACTCAGGGAAGTCTTCTTACCCTATTGCTCTTTATTTTTGTATGACATGGGGACATGCCATGATTATAAGTGTGGGGTGGGAGACTTGTTGTTGTGATGTGTTGTATTGTACATATTAAACATGTTGTAATTTTATAACTGACTTGGCCCAACGACGGACACTTGTCGACAAGTAGTCCATGTAGATATTTTATTTATTTATTTTTATTTCTTTTCTCTTTTTAGGTAATGTAGTAATTTCCCCTTGGTTTTTCTTTTGACCACGGTTCTTTTCCAAGGGCTTCTTTTTCTTGAACCAGGTTAGGTAGATTTTTTTTAGGACTCTGAAGACTCTCTTAGATTAGTAGGGGTAAGGGCAGGAATCCACCCTTTTGATGTATACACCTGCTAACAACTAAACGAACTTGAGAGTGCGACGTCTAGGCTCGTTTGTAGACTCGTAAATTATGTCTTAATTGTGCACACCTTGCCTTGCTTGAACACTCATGTGAGTGTGTTGACAAACTAATTCGGAATGAGTTTCATGCCAAGTGTGTGTGAGGAAATACCTGTATTCTGTGCTTGCATGCGATACCTAGAACTTGCCCAGTGTGTTTGCAAAGCGAAATAGAAGTTGTTTGGTCTTAGAGTTGATTGAGGCATTTCTTTCTGTAGCCGGTCTAATTATGAATCGACCTGTACATATCACCATAGTTAACCCCTTTGAGCCTAAAGCTTGTTTCATTGATAACCTTGTAATAACCTACATCCATGTGTTGAATAGCTTGACTGTTTGACCCTTTGCCTCCTAGAAGCACTTGAATTGTTAAAGCTCATGTAAAAGTTAAAGTGTGGGGTGATAAGGGAGTAGAAAAAGGGAATCAGGAAAATACTTGAATGGTGCAATAGTAGTTTCAAAAAAATATATGTATATATTGAAATATAGAAGAAGGACCTTGCAAATAGGTGGTCCTAAAGTAGTGAATGGCAAGAAAAGCCAGTTGCACCTAGAAAAGCGGGGGTAGCTTATGAAACAAGTGTGGAAGGATGACAGGGCTGAACATGGAAATCGCAATAAAGGAAGAATGTATTAAAAGTGCTTAGGGAGGTTAGTCACTATATCCAAATATATCCTACCCGTCCCTTAGCCTACATTACAACCAAATAAAGACCTCTTGATCGTAGACTAAAACAACTCGATTAGTAGAGTATTACACTAAGGGCAAGCTTATGGTGTATCTGTGTGGCATATGAATGTTCTTTGCTGAGAGTGAGTGAATTCTTTCTATCTAAAGTTCGTTGTGCTTGATTTCATATGTGTGGAACTTCTCTCAATTTATTGATGTGAGGGCATGTGACTCAGGAAGAAACAACAAGTTTTCACCTCTGTAGAGTAACTAGAGTGAGCATGTGTGTGGCATGACATTAGAGTCTGCATCTGAGGTGTGACAGTTGCACTGCTTAGGTTGTTCTTTCATAATGGCGGGTGTGACATAAATTGGGTAAGTCGTTGAGCGATTAGGCATAGAAGTGTGGTTTAAATTGCTCGAGGACGAGCAAAGCTTTAAGTGTGGGGTGTTGATAATAGGTGAATTGAACTATGATCAAGCCCCAAAAGAACCACTTTCTTGTAGAGTTTTTATTGTAAAAGTGATAGCAAAATGCTCTTATTAGTGCTTTTCATGTTTTTCAGGTTACATACATTAGAAGAAGGCTATGGAGTGAATTTGTATCATTTATGGAAGAAAAAGAAGTCAATCGCATCAAAGTCGCCGAGTGAACCATTTGAAATACACAAATGAGGCCTGGAGGTGAACTGCCGTGGTCCCAGCGTGGGCGCGGTAGGACCGCGGTGAGCTGTCAGAAGAGATTCAAAGAGGCCATTTGGCCGCGGTCCTAGCGTGGGCGCGGTAGGACCGCGGCAGGCGACGAGAAATTGAAGGACTAACGTGCAAATTCCAGAATTCTTAGCCCAAAACCCTATTTAAACACTAGAACTCGCCCAAAGGAGGCATGTAACATTATTAGAGAGTACTTTGGCAAGAAAAAAAAGTGTGAGAGATCACCCAAAACATTATTATTTCTATTCTTCTTTATTTTCTTGCAATTTATGATTATGAATTTTTTAGTATTTGATTTACCCATTGTCATGAGTAGCTAAAAACCTTAATCTAAGGTTTTGGTGGAACCCGTTGGGAATAACTTGGTTGTTTTATCAATATAATTAGATTTGATTGTTAATCTCTAATTGTTCATCTATGTTTTGATTGTGGAATAGTTGAAAGGGCCCTCAATTATCCGTTCCTATTTATTATGTATCTTCTTGAGAGAGAGTGCATATTTAAGTGATTGTATGAACAACATCACTCCTGGAGTATAGACGAGAGTCATAACCGAGGGTTTAGGGGTTGGATTAGAGATAACGAAACCCCGGGTGCAATCTAAGTGAACTGTATTGTGTAAGTAGCTAGCGTAGCTTGAGAAAGTGCGTCTAGTAGATTATTATAATTACTTGAGAAAGAATTATGATATATGGAGAGTTCATGATTGTTAGAGATAGCTAAATCATAGTTATAGGACATATACAACCAAGGAAAGTACCAACGGGGGAAACCATTGCCTTAGACTTTATTTCTACTGTTTACACATCAAGTTTAGTTAATTTTCAGATGTTAATTACTTTCAATCTTAGTTGTTAGAAAATTAACCATTGTGA